GATGTCATCCCTAGTTTTAGCAAAAAAAGAACCTCAAAAAATTTCAAAGACCTGTTAACACTTTTGTAAAATGCTTCATTAAAAGGTCCAACTTGAAACTGTATTATAAATTACTATAGAAATTATATTACAGCCAAAATTAAAAATTACCTTTCTTAACACTTTCACTAAGAAAATATAAGAATATTCATTAAAACGTGAGATACACACAAACATTAAAACGCCATATTGGAAGTATTGCACACAGAAACTTCAAACTCGGCTAGTGGCATCTAGATGTTGCCAGGTCTTCATAAATTATGAAATCTCAATGTAATAATGGTTGCCAACTAGTAATTTCACCTTATTTTCCTAAGAGTGACAACTACTGATTCAGTGACCACTACTGATTCATTACCTTAACGGGAGGCATATGTCTAACAGTGAACGTTGGACTTTTTCGCGTTTATCATATGTACAGTAGTTAACTAAAAGTGGAGGTATGCAAAGAGATGTATGACGTAATCGTATACTATTCGCTAAATCCTGTCATAATAACAAATAATAATAATATCATCAAAGTAATATGCCATACACCTCTGTGGGTGAATACGTTTTATTGCTGCCAGTTTACGGTGTTATTACATGCCGCCATGTTTAATTTGTCTCCACCATCGTATTATCTCCGTCAAATCCTATCATTTTAAGCTCTATATGTCATGATTAGACCTATAGGACCGGAGATACGTAACTAAGGCTCTTTTGACACAGCATATATAGGAGCAAAGATATATACCTAAGGTTCTTTTGACGTGTTGCTGTATTTGATTTCTACGTCGTAGTATTTTATTGGTTATATGCTATCATTTGAGGTACTGTACGTCACGATTGGACTAATAGGATAGAAGACACATAACTAGGCCCTTTCGCCACGCTACTCTATTTGATTTTTATATCTTATTGTATTCTATTAGTTAAATTCATGATACTATGAACTAAAGATAAACCCACGCGCACGCGATCAGCCTATCTCTTTTGCACGTGTGACGTCACTTGGCGACAAATATCACCAGAAATGTTCTGTTTTGCATGGAGTTTTGTCAGATTTAGTATTGTTTTATCGTTTATCTTGTACGTTGACAAATAAATGTGTGCACTTTATATAAAACATATTTCAGAATATTAAATTAAAGATAAACTTTTATCGCCAAGTGACGTCATGCGCATCGACGTACAAAATTCGATTGCGAAGTGGTTTTATCTCGGAAGTCATAGTATCGTGAGTTAAATTCTATCATTTGCGGTACGAAACGTCACGATTGGACTAATAGGATCTCAGAAACATAACTATGGCCCTTTTGACATGCTGCTGTATTTTATTTTTCTTTCTCATTGTATTCTATTGGTTAAATCCTATCATTTGAGGTGCTGTAAGTCACGATTGTGCTACTAAAAAGAAGATACGTAACTAAGGCTCTTTTTACGTGTTGCTGTATTTAATTTCCAATTTTAAGTTATTGTATTCTATTGGTTAAGTGCTATCATTTGAGATATCGTACGTCACTATTGGCCTAATAGGACCGAAGGTACATAACTAAGGCCCTTTTGACATGCTACTCCATTACCTCATTGTATTTTATTTGTTAAATCCTTTCATTTGAGGTACTGCACGTCATGATTGGACTAACAGAACCGAAGATACACAACTAAGGCCCTTTTGACATTGTGCTGTATTTGATTTTTCTATCCCATTGTATTCTTTACGTTAAATCTTATCATTAGAGGTACTATACGTCACGATTGGACTAATAGGATCAAAAATACGTGACTACGGCCCTTTTGACATGTTGCTGTATTTGATTTTTCTATTTCATTGTTTTCGATTGGTTAAATCCTATCATTTGAGATACTGTACGTCACGATTGGACTTATAGAAACGAAGATATATAACTAAGGCCTTTTTGACATGCTGCTTTTCTGTCTTATTGTATTTTATTGGTTAAATCCTATCATTTGAGGTGCTGTACATCACGACTGGACCAATTGGAGCAAAAATATGCAATATATCATAACCCGTTACTTTTAATCAAACAAGATGCTAGAATGATTTGTGGATGAAAAAAAATATATAAATTCTTAAATTTACTATTTCGTTGTGGGTAATATTATATTCAACAGCGATGCCAAATTTCTGATGCTAAAATGATTGATAATGAAAGTGCGATATACATTTTCATGTATATAATGGCAGCGAGTAAACGGTAAAACCCTGAACTAAATATATATAATATTTTCACTGTACCATCATTTTAGACTCAAACATTTCCTGGAATAAACTTATATAACTCAGTAAGGGATAAAAAGAGAAAGCGGACATTTTAAAATACCAACACGGTATCAAATCTCTAATCATTGAGATGGTTAAAATTCTTGTAACAAGTACAGGAAAAAGTTATTAAGGTCTTGTAAAGTAGCGTCGATATACAGATGCTACTTTGCAAGACGATGCTAAATTGATGGTAAAAGCATAATGTATCGATGCCAAAATGATAGTAGGATGTATATATATATATATATAATATATATATATATATAATTATATATATAACCGCAATAATTCTCTCAAATTCAATCCACTAACAAAAATTGAATAAATTGAAAGAAAAACCATTAGAAGAATAAAATACATATTTACATGTGGAATACAAAATTTGGTTTCTGCATGTTTTTTAATAAGCAAAAATGTTTTATTCTATTTTATTGTAAAATACCTTTTACACACAAAGGCATTTTTAATCCTTGAAATAAAATCGAACACCATGAAAAATATATATTTATTTTTCAAAAGATTTACAGTGGCATTTGCCACCTTATCCCTAATGGCTCGAACTCCTATGTCATCTAGATTATCATCCTCTTCATTAATTTCATATAGATGATCTGGGAGATTTTGTTCTACTGGTTCTATATTTAAAATATCATCATCAATGGCAATATTATGTAGTACACATGCAGCTCTAATTAAATGGCATATTAACCTGACATTTCTAACTTTATGTGATACATTTGCCTAAATTTTTGTTTCATTATCCCAAAGCAATGTTCAACCACATAACGATTTTTTGAAAGTTTTAAATTGTAGTTTCGTTGATGTCTGGTTAAGTTCCCTCTATCCTTATAAGGAGTTAGCAAATTGGCCTGTAAAGGGTAGCCACTGTTTCCTAAAAGAAAATATCTTTTAGGACTTCATGGAAGTCCTAAATAGATATCCATAGAACTCCATAGACTTTAGAAATTCATGTTCTATGGACAGTTTCTAAAGACTCTGCTGTCATGGACTGAACCTGGATATCCTATAAATATGTCAGTTATTTTTCTTCTGTGGTCACATAAAAGTTGCATCTATAATAAAAAATAAATTTAAAAACCAATTAAGGTGCTTTTATAAAATGTCATATTAAATAGTACTAAAAAGTTAAAAACATTTATATATTGAATATTTCCTGGTGTCAAATGACCTACCTGAATTGGGTAGTACCCTTTTCCATTTATATATGATTCTGGGTCGTCCGTTTTATCAATTTTTATGTGGCTACCGTCCACTGCTCCTATTACATTGGAAATCCATTAGCTCTAAAGTGTTGTTCACTTATGGCTTTCTCATTTTCATTAGGCCATTTTATTACATCTGGACTCCAATTACTTAAAAAGTATGTTAGTCGATGAATTAATTTTATGAACAGACCCTATTCTTATATCGAAACGATCTCCATCATCTCTAAAACTTGCAGTCTCATGTCCAATGTACCACAGATAAATAAGTACCTAAAATCAAATGTTTCTTAAAATAAAAGAAAAAGCATAGTTCTGTTTTGATTTTAGAAATCATGTGTGTAGCTGAAATATTTATTATTTACTTACTTGATGTAAAGCAGATATGTTGGCATACTGTCCCTCCTGTGAATTATAAATATTGACTAGCCTCAAATCTTTCAACCAAACCATTTACAGTGTCCCTTGACAATCTAAAATGTTCAAAAAACTTTTCTTCAGAGTACTGTGTCACGGTTTGTTCTAAAAGTAATAAATCAGATATCATTTATTTAATTTTATGTTACTTATTAATAATTATATTTAATTTACCTAAATAATTTTGGTTCTTAACCCTTGGTTCGTCTAGTAATATTTCTAGGTCATCCTCGTCACTACTTTCCATAGAAGACATATCACTGATATCACTGTACTCTTGGTCGGACATATTAAATAAAAATAATCACTGCTATTGTTTACTGTAAAACTTAAATATAAACACTGGTAAAGTGGTAAACAAACGATTGTTAACTTTATAACATAAAAAGTAGGGTTATAAGGCAGAGAACAATTTGTAAACAAATAAATCGTTGACAGTCCCCTCTACCATTCAACGGTACTACGCATGCCCCAAATTTAGTGATGTGCAAATCAGAACTGACCCGATTCAATGAGCCGAATCTTCAGAAAGATCCAACTGACCCGAATCTCAAAATTAAATGTAACGGATCACGGGTCAGTAACAAACACATATGACGCGCGGAATATTGTAGTTCCAAGCGAAAGCGAGGAGTCGGCTGAACACTGAATCCCATTCCAAGGAATCTTAAAATTAATCTTACGGATCACAGGTCAGTAACAAACACATATGACGCGCAGAATGATGTAGTTCTAAGCGAAAGCAAGGAGTCAGCTGATGCTGAATCCCAAGTTCTTATAAACATTACCGAATCTTTTCAGATATTTTGTCAGGACTAGCATATTTAGAGAGCAAAATATTATTTATTTTACTTATAATTATGAGGTGTAAAATATTAATTAAAAACTATAAACTTATAAATTATTGGCAAAAAATGAATATATTTGTTGGCTCTCCACGTAATTTTTTTGGTTATTCTATTATTTTGTATTTCTTGTATTTTTGATCACTTAGAAAAACTAAAAGAGGTAACTAATTTCTAATTTTATTATAAAATTAAACAATTTTTATTTCACAGTACATACACAACAATACATGACCTTTTCTTAACTAATTCATAAAGTTTTGGATATACGTTTTTTCTTTGGAACCACCACAATAATGGGTCTTCTTCTCTTCCAATTAGAGGTTCACTAATATATTTATCAACCTCTAGAGTTACTGCTGCCGTAGGATTATGGGGTTCTCGAACTTTTTCGTCAAAGGCTATCCATAACCTATTACCTTGTTCAAAAGGAATGTTTTCCACACGTTCATGGGGTACACTTAAAAGTAAATTGGGTTTTGAAGTAGCTAATAATTTCTGTTTAATCATTTGAATTGATTGATTCGCTTTTAGCTGGTCTTTAAATCCATATTTCTTGAAACGAGGATTTAAAATAACCGTTTGAGCTACAAGGTCGTTGCTTTCGATGTTTCTAAACCGTTCTTGAATTTCTTTCAAAAAAACGTCGACCATTTTGTGTATGTTGCTATTCAGGGTAGCATTTGTAAATTGAGTATCCATTGCAGTAACAAATAATGGTATTTTGGATATGGATACATTTTCTTCGGCACTTATTTTAACTGTCACATCGCTAAAAACTTGAAGAATTTCAATAGCTTGATTTGCTATTTCCCAATCTGTATGTAATAATTATGATCATGTTGTAGTATAGCTAAAGTCGATAAAATAGCATCTTTTCGTTGGCAGAACCTGTTTAGCATATCCAGTGAAGAATTCCAACGTGTACATACATCAAGTTTTAATTTTAAAATTGTTTGCCCCATTGGTTCTTGTGTTTGATGTAACTTAGAAAGGACATGCGAACTTCGTTTGAAAAATTGCACTATTTTTCTAATCTTAACAAGTGTATTTTCAATTTCTTTAAGACCTTTTTGTGCAATTAAATTTACGGTGTGTGCAAAACATCCCAAGTTACGCCAATTTCCCTTCTTTATAGCTGCAATAATGTTATGTGCATTATCACTGATTATGACTAATATTTTGTCTTGAATCTCCCATTCTTCGAATTTGTCTTGCAAAAGACTACATAAGTCAATAGCCGTGTGACGATCGTTGAATGCAATACAGTTCAATAAATTTGAGCAAAGTGTCAATGCTCCATGTTCATGACTATCATCAAGCCAATGCGCAGTTATGGCTGTAAAGTTTTCAATATTAATGGACGTCCAACTGTCTGTAGTAATACACAGTGCATAGGCTTTGTTCATTTCTTGTTTGACAGACTCCCTGATTTTAGTAAAAGTTTGTGGTATTAAGCTATTTGATAAGGTTTTTCGGCTGGGTAGAGTATATCCAGGACATAACATTTTAACGAATTTTTTAAATTCCATGTCTTCTACAATAGAAAAAGGCTGAAAATCTTTTACCACCATCCTTACCAGTTGATCATCAAATTGCTTAGATTTACTAATCGGTACAGTTTTAATGGGCGGGGAAGTCCTCAACCCCGACACGGCGCGTCCCAATGGCTGATAGGGAACGATCCTGTAGATATGCAGGACAGGTATGAATAAGGCTTAGCCAAATAAATACCCGCGGATCAACTGAGGACATGACACAGGTCAACAGCTGTGTTATTAGTGGCCCGTGGCTGAGGAATAAAATTCCTGACAGGTGCGAAACCACAGAGTCGCAGGCGGCAATCAAGTAGATTTAACCGGCTGTGATACTGCGAACACTCACCAACCCGTCTGGCAAGCGTGGTGTTTTAATGCCAATATACCCCTTAAAAACGCGATGTCAGTTTTTAAAACAAATACAGATCTACCCCAGGTGAGTAGGATGCGTCCAGAATCTCACACTGATTTATCAGTCTGTCCCAAGGATTCTGGGGGGGACAAAAAACTGACTATACGGAAACCCAAAAAACCCATAACTCTCTACGTTAATACATACAATGCTAGAAGTCTACTGTCCGAGGAAAGATTCACTGAAATGGAAACTGAAATGAATAAAATAAAATGGGATGTCATAGGTATTAGCGAAGTTAGAATGAGAGGTGAAACTTTGAAAACACTCAAATCAGGGCATATATTCTATCAGATTGGTCCTGAAACTACATCAGTTGGAGGCATCGGTTTCTTTGTCCATAAAAATCACGCGAACAAGATAATAAACATCAAAAGTATATCATCTAGAGTGGCATATCTTATTCTGAAGCTGAACAGTAGGTATCAACTCAAAATTATCCAAGTATACGCTCCAACAACAGACCATACAGACGAAGAAATTGAAATGTTTTATGACGATGTATCCACTGCGCTTGATGATTCTCGTACTCAATTCACAATTTTATGTGGCGATTTCAACGCAAAAATAGGGGTAAAAGAAGCAGATCTAGAAACATCTTTAGGACAATTCGGTTCCCCAGGAAGAAATGATCGAGGAGAAAAGCTACTAGGATTCCTACTCCAGAATAACTTATTCAACATGAACAGCTTCTTTCACAAAAAGATGCACAGAAGATGGACTTGGGAAAGTCCAAACGGTAGAACAAGGAACGAAATCGACTACATCATAAGTGATCAAAAACAAATAATTAAAGATGTAACAGTACTCAACAAGTTCACCACAAACAGCGACCACAGGATGATACGAGCGAAAGTTCAAATCAATATAAAAAGAGAAAGGAATATAATGATTAAAAATAAATTTCATGGTATCTGGACACCCCCATTAGATATCAACCAATATCAGACACATATCAATAATAAGCTTCTATTGCAGGAAACCTCCGCTAACGATATTAACGACTTGAATAACTGCATCATAAACGCCTTACAAGAAAGTCACCGAGTGCACTGTCCTAAAAGAAAATCAGATAGTAAAATAAGTCCATATACTGAAACGCTCTTGGATCAAAGAAGACAAATGAGAAGCGATAAGAATGTAGATAGCAACACTTTAAGAAAAATGAACAAAACTGTTTCGAAAGCAATTAGGAGAGATTTAAGGAAATTTAATACCGATTATATTAAACGCACTATAGAGGAAAATAACAGCCTAAAAGTTCTACGTAGAAAGCTAACGAATGGGAAATGCGAAATTCATAAATTAAGAAACAAGCAAAATGAAATAATATCACGTAGAGACGAGTTAATACAGGTCGTCGAAGAGTTTTACGAGGACTTATATAGAAGTAGACGAGAAGATAAAACAGGAATACAAACAGCCATTTCAAAGAAGATCAAGAATCAAGGTTCCGAACTAATGCCAGAGATAAAGCTAGATGAGATTCGACAAGCATTAAGAAAAATGAAAAATAACAAAGCCCCAGGAGAGGATGGAATCGTAATAGAAGCTATCGTAAATGGAGGAGATATGCTATTAAATAAATTAAGGAAACTATTCAATCTATGTTTGCAGCAAAGAGAGGTGCCCAAAGAGTGGAACAATGCTACAACCATCCTTTTGCATAAAAAAGGAGATAGAACGGACCTAGAAAATTATAGACCTATTAGCCTGTTGAACCACATATACAAGCTCTTCACTAGGGTAGTGACATCAAGATTGGAGAAAAAATTAGATTTCTACCAACCGAGAGAGCAGGCAGGATTCCGCTCAAATTATGGTACCAATGATCACCTCCACACAGTAAAAACACTCATTGAAAAATCTATAGAATATAACAAACCTCTTGTTCTCACTTTCATAGATTTTCATAAAGCGTTCGACACGATCGAATTAGACAGCCTTATAGAAGCAATGAATGACAGCAGGATTGACCATAGGTATAGTGAGCTTATTTATAATATTTACAAAAATGCCACTATGACTGTTAAAATAGACAATAAAACCCGACCAATAAAAATAAATCGTGGAATAAGGCAAGGAGATACATTGTCGCCGAAATTATTCATAACGGCATTAGAATATGCCTTTAAGATGATCAATTGGGACCACAGAGGAGTAACGATAGACGGCGAAAAGCTTAACCATCTCCGTTTCGCAGATGACATTGTCCTTATCACAGATAATTTAGGAGAAGCTACAGATATGATAAACGAATTGGATTTTGCATGTTCGAAGGTGGGCCTGAGAATGAACTTGACCAAAACTAAGTTTATGACAAATTTGGTCCCCAATAACCATTTGACTATTCAAGACAAAGTGGTAGAACTGGTGGAGAAATATACGTATTTGGGTCATGAAATAAGAATCAGCAGGGATAACCAAACATGTGAGATCCAAAGACGAATTACTTTAACATGGGCAGCCTTTGGAAAACTGCGAGACACACTTAGGGCCAACATACCAATCAGCCTCAAAAGAAAAGTGTTTGACCAATGCGTATTACCGGTCATGACCTATGGGGCGGAAACTATGACTTTAACCAAGACCACGGCTTCGAAACTGAGAGTGGCACAGAGACGAATGGAACGGTCTATGCTGGGAGTGACGTTGAGGGACCGAATAAGAAACGAAGATCTGCGAAGAAGGACGAGTATTACTGATGTTGTGGAACGCATAGCGGAACTAAAATGGAACTGGGCAGGCCATGTAGCGAGAATGCACGATTCACGATGGACGAGCAAAATTACAAATTGGAGGCCAAGAGCAGACAAACGCAGTAGAGGAAGACCACCTACACGTTGGGCCGACGACATCAGGCGTATCACTAAAAATTGGCAACAAAGAGCACAAAATCGTGAGGAATGGAGGAGTTTAAGGGAGGCCTATGTCCAGCAGTGGACGTGATAAATAGAGGCTGGATGATGATGATGATGACAGTTTTAATATTTACTATAAAATTGTCTAGTTTGTCTTGTCTTGCTCTTTTTGCTCTTTCATGAGAATGTTTATCTTGCTGAGACGGTCCTGCTTCATTGTCGCTAATGGGATACGTTTCAGAAAAAATATTTTGATTACTCGTCCCACTGTTTTCTATAGTTAACTCTGGTGTAAATTTGTCTCTGTATATTTCAATGCCTAAAATAATGAGTTATAATTGAAAAAAATGAATATGAAATTAAAATAACATTACTACCTGGATGCTTTAAACGCATATGTCTTGTAAGGTTTCCAGTTGACCCTTTTGTCACATTTATCAATGCAAAACAATAATTGCATTTCACTTTATTTTGTGCATTTGTATTTTTTTCTTGGAAAAAATGATTCCATATCTCACTTTTTTTTTCGAGATAACATAACTGAGTTTTATAAGTAAACTAATGTGTATTACTGCAAATTTTAAAAATAACCAAAAAACGTTAAATATTATTCAAATGAAAGCCAAGTAAACTAAATCCAGTTACGTAAACTTTTACACAACAACTTTTATACCATAAAATATTTCGGGGAATACCATAAAATGGTATTTGTTCAGAGCAAGTAACATTTAAGGTATTCCCCGAAATATTTTATGGCATGGCGTATTATTGGTTGCATAATAATAATAATTTAGTAAAATACCGACAAGATATTTTGTACATTAAAGAGACCTTAGATAGGTATGCTTAAATTAGTATGCTTAAAGAAACGTTTAGTTGATGATATGAAATATAATTAACTTAAAAAAATTAAATTTGAATTTTAAGTTTTATTAGGTAAAATTTAAAAATCCAAGTAAATTTTTGGTTGCCATAACATTTACTTGTAAGATTGAGTAACAACTACATAATAACATAATGCTCTTATACTCGATATCCACCCACCGCCCACCGCTAAAATTATAGATCTGATTTGTTATAATATGATCTGTACTGACCCGTGACCCGACAAGGTGATCCGGTTCTCTTAAGTGAACCGGAACCGGTGACCCGAATCTCAAAGATGACCCGAAATTCCCGTACTACCCAAATTCCCTGTTAGAAGAGAATCCACAAACTATTTTGACTGTCAGCAAACACGTTTTTGGTTTGGTTGGAACAGCAAACTATTTGCTTGCGGACTGTTTGTGATTATCATTTGGAACGCTTTCATGTTATTGAGCAGAATCCTGACGTCTGCAACTTGTTTCCGACTCTGGTTGGAACAAACCTTTTATTCTTTGTAAACACATAAGATCTTTACCATTTGACATGACAGTGCGACATAGACAGGGAACAGGGGTGTACTTAATATTGCAATCTAGATTAAAAATTTGAATTATTTAATTATGTATTATATTTACGAATGTGTATGGATGAAAAAATTAAATATTTAAAAAAATGAATGAATTATTTCTTTTCAAATTAATTTTGGGGTATTGAGATAAAATTAAATATAGGAGAAACGAAGGTAATCTAAATTAAACTTAAATAGTGATTAAAGCAATAATTTATAAGTTATATACTAGAGAATATTATAAAAAGTATTTATATGAGGGTATTCTTAAGAAATTAGCATAATA